GCGCGCCCCCGGCCGCGAGCCGGGGCCGCCGCCCCCGCCCCTCCCGGTGCCACACGCAGTAACTGCTTTCCAAATGGGTACGGAGTGAAGGCGGCGGCTACGGGGCCGAAGCAGCGCCCCGCTGCCATACCCCACCCCACACGGGACCGGTGGGTCGCTGGGAGAGCGCGGGCGCGCACGCCACGCCCACCGCGCTTCCTGCCTGTCCTCGTGACCGCGCGCGCACGTGCTCCGGCTTCTTGGCGCTCCAGGTCGTGACCTAGGTTTGGCCGCCCCGGCCACGACCCACCTAGAGCCGACGCAGGCCGGGTCCGGTAGGCTGCAGTCAGGGAAGCGGCGGAGACTCGGGCGCCCGCCGAGCAGGTCTTAGTAGCAGGCCCCGTGGGCGAGCAGTGGTTTCGCCATGAACCCCAGGGGCCTGTTCCAGGACTTCAACCCAAGTAAGTTCCTCATCTACGCTTGCCTGCTGCTCTTCTCGGTGCTGCTGCCCCTTCGCCTGGACGGCATTATCCAGTGGAGCTACTGGGCAGTCTTCGCCCCCATATGGCTGTGGAAGCTCCTTGTCATCGCAGGCGCCTCGGTGGGTGCCGGTGTTTGGGCCCGCAACCCTCGCTACCGCACCGAAGGGGAGGCCTGCGTGGAGTTCAAAGCCATGTTGATCGCTGTGGGCATCCACCTGCTCCTGCTCATGTTCGAAGTCCTGGTCTGCGACAGGGTGGAGAGGGGGACCCACTTCTGGCTGCTGGTCTTCATGCCACTTTTCTTCGTATCCCCTGTGTCCGTGGCTGCCTGCGTGTGGGGCTTTCGACATGATAGGTCACTCGAGCTGGAGATCCTGTGCTCTGTCAACATCCTGCAGTTCATCTTCATCGCCCTAAGGCTCGACAGGATTATCCACTGGCCGTGGCTAGTAGTGTTCGTGCCCCTCTGGATCCTCATGTCATTCCTCTGCCTGGTCGTCTTGTATTACATCGTCTGGTCCCTCTTGTTCCTGCGGTCCCTGGATGTCGTTGCCGAACAGCGAAGAACACACGTGACCATGGCCATCAGCTGGATAACGATTGTCGTGCCCTTGCTCACTTTTGAGGTTCTGCTAGTGCACAGATTGGATGGCCACAATACATTCTCTTACATCTCCATATTTGTCCCCCTTTGGCTTTCATTAATAACTTTAATGGCCACAACATTTAGGCGGAAAGGGGGCAACCATTGGTGGTTTGGTATTCGCAGAGATTTCTGTCAATTTCTGCTTGAAATTTTCCCATTTTTAAGAGAATATGGGAACATTTCATATGACCTACATCATGAAGATAGTGACGATGCTGAAGAAACATCTGTTCCAGATGCTCCTAAAATTGCTCCAATGTTTGGAAAGAAGGCCAGGGTAGTTATAACCCAGAGCCCTGGAAAGTATGTCCCCCCACCTCCCAAGTTAAATATTGACATGCCAGATTAAACCTGTCTTCTAGGGAGTGCCCATATGTGGACTAGAAACCCACCTTATTTTTGCCTCTTTGTTTATCCATCCCAAACCTGGAACTGAAAATAGGCTCCAAACACCATCATCTCATGCCATGTTGGAGATTGATGCCTATCAGTGACTCCATCAGTATGTACCATAGATGTAGGAGGTTATTTGAATATATGGCCACGTGTGTGGTGTGTGACTTGTGAAGGAACTTGCTTTCCAGGTTGGTGCTTAAAGAGCTAGCTGGGAGCGGTAGGATTGTTTTAGTAGGTCCTCAAATGGAATAATTACGCAATTGGGTTTTTTTAAAAAGTGGTACTACATCTATCAAAAGTATTATTTTAAAAAGTATTTTTATACACTGCTAGACTGTATTTCAGATTGTGCCTGTTGTGACAATAGTAAATGTAAAGAGTTCTGCCACTTGTTTATAAACCTCATAGTTATTTTTAATGTTCCTACTGTTAAAATAGTTTTTCTTTGGGCTTTACTGGTAGCCTTTGATAGCCTAGTAGGTGAATTTTTCTAATGTAGTGAATCTGTGCATATATGATATTTATATGAATATTTTAGCAATGTAATATATTACATTGAATTCTAGTTCTGTGCATTACCATGTATTATGTAAAAGTATTTTTTTAAGTTTCTATGTGAAGATACATGTCTATTGCAGATGTCCTTAAAGATTGCTTAAAACAATATGCACCCAGTGTGGGATCTATCAAAGTATTAGGCATAAATAGAGGGATTGAAAATCTCAAGAATCCTAACATTCAAGTGTTAAATGACTCAGTCTGCACAGTTTTAAGGTCTCTCTTGGAACCACCATCCTTTGGGAACAGTGACAGGCTCCAGTGGTACAGCGTCATAAAGTGACATTTAACTAGCACCTTGAATTTTTCCATATAGGCAGTAACATCTCTTGAGGAGTAACTGAAGCAAGCAACAAATGGTTTGTACATTTCTAAGAATCTTAAAGTATTAGTTGACCGTTATATAAAGTTTTTCTTGTCATTGCAAAGTTGGAGAGAGTGGCCTCAACCAGAAATGGCCTGCAGGGTCAGCTATTATTTTAAGGTCCAAACTTTTTGCTCTGTCAGCAACAGAAATAATAGTTCAGGTTTTTTGTTGTTGTTTTTTAATTAGTACAGTATTTCTTTAGGTACTAGTGATACACCAGGGAATCGGGCAAAAACCAGATCCTGGGAGAGTAATGTTCTTATGACTGAGAACAAATAAATACTTCCAAAAGGAGGTTACTACTGGGGGAAAGGCTGGAGGGAATTTATTTTTATTAGCAACTTAGTAAAAATAATCTAAATTGGCCTCCATATAAATTAAGTAGATAAGTTACCTGGCACATGGGCATGCTAACAGAAGCCAGGCCTTGGAAACCTGAATACCTGAAAGCCTGTAGGTGCCGCAGCTCAGTCTAGGACTGAGCCAAGGTCACACACGCACATTGTTGCTTTACGCCAACTGTCAGGCCTGAACAACAGTGGATGTAACATTTCATAAACAAAGATTCATTTATTCATTTTCTCAAATATTCATTGAGGATCTACTCTGAGTCAGACATGGTTCTAGGAAATGCCGATACATGGGAGAGCAATTCAGTTGTGGCTCCTGCCCACACTCTCATAGTATACAATTAAAAGTGACAAGAAGATAGGGCTCATCAGCCTACCTGTAGGAAGGAACAAGCCAAGAGCAGGTTGTGCAAAATGTTTGGAAGGATGCTACCAACCTTGGGTTGAACTTCATCTGGAACTTTAGGCCCATTTTGTTTGCAGGAGCCCAGTGCCCCCTGATCGCCCTTCCATCCCCAAATAATATCACAAAGACCTGAACTTACTCTTCAGTAAAGCTTAGGAGTGGACAAGCAGGTTCCTAGAGGAATTGAAGGGAAGACTTGGGGGCAGCAGTGGGATCACCAGTCCCTCCTGGCTACAGTGTGAGGCTATGGGCTTGTTGGGACCTGAAACGATCTCTCCTAACCTGATGGGCCCCTCCCACACTCACCTGACCTGCCTTACTTCCTCCACTCCAAGGTGGTCTAGTGTTGGAGAGCCAGTGTCTGAATGATGACGGCTTTCTCACCCAGGTAGGTCATCCCATCAGACCTCTTTCCTGCCTTAAGACCATTAAGTAAAAAACAGCAGGAAAGTTATTTAGTCTGTAAAAGTTACCTAACTGCCATGCCCCTTCGATTATTCACAATATTTAACATGTTAAATTCTGTGTAACTGTAGTTTCTCCTGTACAATGATGTATTAGCTTTTGCTGCAAAATAACCTCAAAAATATCAGTGGCCTACAATTATAAACTCTGGCTTCTACAAGTTAGCTGCAGCAGTTACACTCCAGGCCGTGGATCTGATCCAGAACACCGTAACGTGTCCCTTATACTATTTTGGGTCCCAAGTGAAGGAGTAGCGTTTCCTGGGCCGTGTTCTTTCTCACGGCAGAAGCACAAAAGACCCTGCTAAACCCTACAAGCACAAATATAGCCCCTGCCCACATGTGATATGTGTTGAGTATACTCATTCTGTTGAGCAAAGCACAAGGCCAAGCCTGACCTCAGCAGAGTGGACTAGTACACACCCAAGGAACAGTGACATATTCTGCACAGATGTTATAAGATAGTTTTAAAGATGAGAAAGAAATCACAAAATTTGTGGTCAGAATGATTTTTCCCCTCTGTTTTACAAACATTCTGTACTTTTTGGAAGTTAATTGTTTAATATTGTAATAATAATTAGGAAATCTGTGGTGGAGGCAGGGGACTTGAGGTGAGTTGAAGAAGAGCCTATATTTAGACTCCTCTGTACACTGAAAAGGACCCACACAGGACAGTTTTTCATGATGGAAAGGTCAAGCCTGGGCAAGGGGAGACCAGCCGGGCAGGAGGCGCTGGGAAACGAAGAAGCAGTCTAGACAGGCCTAGTCAGCACACTAGATGAGGGAGGAGGCAGGCTTTCCCATTCAGCCCTCCCCAGGGGTCCAGATGGCATATGTGAGAAAGTGACAGGCCCAACTCGGTAAAGGAAACTGGGAAGTTACAGGTGGCTTGCAGCCTGACAAGAAGGCCAGGATCTAGCTCAGCAAGCACGCAGGGATTAAGAGAAGTTGTGCAGCCAGAAACTTCAGGTGAAGTTGTACCTCAGGGACCATTGGTGAGGATGCTGCAGCTGGTACCCCACCACTGGCCACATGGCACTGCCACCTAAATAGTAAATGCCACCAGTGTCACCCCCACTACCACAGTAATTCCTCTGTAGTCTCTGCCATGAGCCCAAGATTAAAGTACCAGGAAAGAGGATCTGATTAGGAAAGCCTCAGAAACATAGTCATTCTGCAGCTTCTGGGACATGAGAGATTATTTGGCTTCTTTAGCTCTAGTAGGAGGCAGGACTCTGCCAGAACACACTCAGTAGAGATCTGGCCCCAAAAGAAGGGTGTCCAGATGCTGGGTAACCAAAAATAATAACAATTGCGCTACACTGAGCCCCTTGGCTGATGTACATCCTTCTTGTCATGTCCCACATAAAAAATTGTTCTCCCGTCTAGCATGCTACAACCGACCTTGCAACAGAACAGTGGCTCATCCCTTCCCAAAGGGAGAAGGGAGACAATCCCAAACTCCCTCATCAATTATTTTATCCAGCTCTTCATCTGGGATATTTGGAGGTGTCTCCTCCTCCTCTAGTTCTGTCATATAGTCTCTCCATATAGTCTAGAATGTGTAGATTAAAGCTAACGACCACAGCATGTCTCCAAAGTGCGGTCCAAGGACGCCTGGGGTCAACGAGGTCCTCCCCTAACTACACCTCTGGTGGAAACCAACTCTTTTCATATTCTTTAACCTGGACAACACACTGCAACAGTTTGAATGCACAAGCAGATAAGAGAATGCAGCTGCTTTCTATTAAGCCAGACATTAAATATTTGCAAAAATGCAAAACCAGTTCAACTCTTCTACCCATCATTTTGTTTGTTTGTTTGTTTGTTTGTTTTGGAAAATCAGGTTATTTTTCATTTTATAAAAAGTTAAAGTGTAATAGAGTTACTGTTTTTAAAGGAATTAATAAATTTTTTAAAAGTCATTGGCTTTCATTTCTACCATGGTAAATGTTATAACTCATGAACAAAAGCTTGTTGAGGTCCTCAACGGTTCTTAAGAGTGTTGAAGGGGTGCTGTGACCAAAAACTTTGATCACTGCTCCCTTATATTTTAGTGGGGGAAAGAGGAAAGAAAATAAAAATTGGGTGAAATATGTTAAAATCCATATGACATAACAGGGAAGGAAAAAGAATAGACCACCATCCTTTCTGCAAGAGATCATAGGATGGCTTCTCTCCTCTGTGAGAAGACAGACACTCCCATTTTACTCCACTGGCACCTTGGGTGGGTGAGTTATTTAACCCAATAGGGTAGTTCACACCTTTGTTCTTGGGGCCCTGAACCTTTGCTGGTCCTGCGTCTCTCATTTAATTTCACCTAGAACTAAAAGGGGCCAAGGGGATCTCCTGGATTCTGTCCGTTAGTCTCTCCCCATTTTGTAGCAGTAACACTATTTCCCCTAGATAGTCCTAAAGGGTGGTGGTGCTGACTGGGGTTGTTGTTCTGACTGCCAAGAGGACATAGGAATAGACAGTCACTCCCCCGGAGCTCACGGGCCATCCTCCCTCTGTGTTTTCAGGATGTCCTGTTTGTTAAATAGCTTCACAGAAGGGCAGGGCAGGGAGCGGAAGTGGTTTTGAAACCTCTCTCCACCACAGCAGCTAAGAGCTCTCTGGCCCCCCTCCCAGGCTCTCTGCCTCTGCCCTTTCTTTGTGTGTGTCACTGTCCTCTCACCCTGTGCCCGGCCTCAGCTACAGCCAGACACCTGGGGGCCTCATGCTTCCTCCTGGGACATCAGTGACATTCTTGTGCAGAAACTGGGACCATGTGGTCCACCACATCTCTTGTCCCACTGCAAACCCCTGACAGTTCCCCCACAGCCCTGTCACAGCGACCTACTTTCCTGGATGAGTTCCAAACTCCAACCACCCGGCAGTGTAGCCAGCCCTCCTCCCTCTTCTCTGTACTGCGACCCTCCTCCTCAAGCCTCACCTCAGCCTGAGCAACTCTCTAGACGTCATATGGCTGAAGTCTCTCCCTTTTCAGCCACTCTGGCATTTTGACCTGGCCCTTCCAGACTTTAACCAAGGGCAGCAAGTAATGTGGGAAGTTCAAAGACTCATTCACGAATAATCTGAGTGAGACCTTTCCAGGAAGCCAGTCCCCCCACACCCTGGGTAACCAGCCACCGATGAGAACAAAGTCTGGGCACCCCACCTCCTGCTTGTGGCAATTTCCCCAGGCCAGTGCTAATACACTGCCAGGGCTGCCCTGACTGGTCCCCGCACACCCTCACCTCCCACTACCCAGCATGTTTAATAGCAAGACTCCCTAGTTGGGGAGGCGGGGGCCTAGTCATCCTGGTTGTTAAATATTCTGAACATCACTTAAAGCTCTTTCTCTGCTTGAGGCCTGGCTTGCCTCTCTCTCCATTCCAGCTCTGCTTAGCCTCCCTCTTCATCCTTGGTCCCTGACTGGCTCTTGTTCCTTTGGACAAGGCACAAGATACCTGAGCCTGGTCTCCTGGCTAACCCCGAGGACTAGGCCAGATTCTGCCCCACCCAGGGGAACACGCCGTGACACACAGGGGCTCTAAACACATCAAGTCCACCCCCAAGAGTTGGGAGATCAAGGCCAT